GCCAAGGTTACACAGAGAACCCTGTCTGGAAAAAACAAAAAGAGGGTAGGGGTTGACTAGAGGTGCCCTAGATAGGAAGATAACATACCTCCCAGAAACCTTAGGTTAATAAAAACCCAAGTGCCAAATGTAGATGATTTCCCTATGAGTCACAGAGATCTTAAGGGTCTCAAAACAATGCAGACCATTTTTGTTGCTCTTGGTTACTCACCAGTACTTGATGGCAAAACCATTTTAATAAAGGTACTACATACTTTGGTCAAAGGACATAAAGAAATCAAGCTTGCCCTGACCTGGGAGCCTCTTCTAGGCTGGCTAACTTGGCCTGAAGGTGCTGTGCAGGTTGCTAGGGGGAAACATCATCAATGATCTTACCTAGATGTCCACTCTTCAAACCACAACAGTAACCAGTCCAGCCATGTGTGCCCACGGGCGCAACAATGGCATGACAGTTATGTGGATAATCAACTACTTCTGATTAGATTTCAGGCCTGTTCCACAGGAAAGAACTTATGTCTGATACTGTAACCCTGTCCAAGAACAGGCTGGGGAGGCCATGGGCCCCAGATGAAAATCTACTACCATTATTTTGCTAAGTGGAGATGGTATTAACTGCCTTCTCAATATTTATCTCTATACCCATAGAGAGTTTAGCTCTGAACCCTTATGAGACAAGCTTTTCTCAGTGTACTACAGTTAATACAAAGACTCACAACTGACCAAGTGCCAAAAATAAACAACTGTGGAGTTCTTGGCTTTATTTTTTATTGCTATTATTATTGTTGTTGGGTTTTTTTTTTTTTTGAGATAATTTCTCTGTAGCTTTGGAAGCTGTCCTGGAACTCGCTCAGTAGACCAAGCTGGCCTCCAATTCACAGAGATCTGCCTGTCTGTCTCCTGAGTGCTGGGATTAAAGGTATGTGCCAACCACTGCCCAGCGTGTTTTTGGTTTCGAATAGAACATCTATATCACTCCTTCCCACCATAACTCAGGGAAAACTGTGGAAGAGGTGAATGGAAAGATTGTAAGAGCTAGAGGTTGGGGACTGTCATCTGGATATAATGCACCAATGCATTCACAAACTCATTGTTGCTATGGTTACTTGCGTAAGACCTGCACAAGACTGAGCCTGTCAAAATTACATCATGAAAGCGATAAGGGCTCATGAGACTTCCCCTTCTTCTAGTCATTATTTAGCCCATGCTAGCCCTAAGGGAGAAGGGTGTCATATGCTTTAGTGATGTAACAAGTGCCCATACCCCAGTATATAATCTACCATGCACAGCTAGGCTACCTTATTTAAACTCAGCGGGTTACTACATATACACACAAGACATGAAAGTAGGAGGGGATATTTTTTCTGAAGAATAAATGTTTCTGGGTGTGGAAGATAGGGGAATAAAACATGGATTAAGGGGTATAAGTGACCAAAATTCCACACGTATATGTATGAAACTGTCCAATAATAAAAAATGAAGAAGTTTTTAAAATTTAGACTCCTGTAGCCATAAAAAAAGGCAAGGAAGGTCTGGGTTTTTATAGAAAACTCCAGCACATCTAAATTTTCAATGACTGTGTTCTGAACTCCCCAGAGGTAAAATCCTATTTACTCACACTCATCTTACTCAAATATATGTTAATATTTTTTACATGACAATATTGGCTGTTGACTTATTTAAATCACCTTGCATTTGGGAGTTCCCTTTTTAATAACAGCTTTCTATTGTGCATAATAACTGTATAAAACAATGGTTCCCTTGTAATGTTTGCTTTGAGACAGGGTTTGACTCTGCGGCCCAGCTTGGCTTGGAACTCACTAGCCCATGCAAACCCCAAACTCATGACAATCTTTCTGCTTCAGCCTCTTGAGCACCAGGGTTACAGGAAGAAGCATCATGCCTGGTCAATGATTAAGACATTTTCACACACAAATATGACATTCATCACTAACAGTGATTTTTTTTTCCAGAAGTCATGATGTTTAAATACCAGTTCTAATGTTATATGACCCAATCCACAGTATATAGTACAGATACTAAATGAGTGAATATAGACAGTTGTGCCTTCTCCTGCCTCATATCTCTGTGTCCTCAATAGTAAATCTACATGGATGCCTGTTTCTGGATCTTCTTAGAACAAATAAAGCAGAACTCAACATGATGGTTAAACAAATTAAATTAGAACATGAATCTAAACCTAGCTTTTGACACCTGTTAAGCTTCTGATGTGTGTGTGTGTGTGTGTGTGTGTGTGTGTGTGTGTGTGTGTATGTGAGAGAGAGAGAGAGAGAGAGAGAGACAGAGAGAGAGAGAGAGAGACAGAGAGAGAGTTCTAAGTGAAACCTTCATACAAATACCTTCAGGTTTTTCCCAAACTCAGAGAACAGCTCTTGTCGGCATCTCAGATAGACATTCTAGAAACAAATGTATAAGCAAGAGAAGAGGACTTTACAAACCAACTGGGATGCAATGCTCTCACAGTACCTCACGGTATTTGAAAGCGGCTTCATGAAGAAGACTCTTTCATTTAGTTAACCTTGATGGAGCAGCTCAGATTTGAGTTTCACTATGTTGGCTCAGACCTGTAATCCTAGCACTTGGGAGGTAAGTAGGAGAAGGCTTGCTGCAAGTTCAAGGCTTGCCCAGGCTGCATTTTGAGACCCTGTCTAAATTCCCTTTCCTCCAAAAAAAAAAAAAAAAAAATTAGCTTTGATAACATTGAGTGGTCCTTCTTATTTCCCCCTTATTAAAAGTGGGTTTTAATTGTGCAATTAGGTTTAAAGGGTTCTAAAGAAACTCTGTTCTCTTACTTTCATTCAGATTGGATAATGGTTGATAGCAACTGGTTGTGAGCTGTGGAAATGCAGATACAAAGTAAAAAACTTACATATCTAAATAGAAATTCACAAACACCGTAGGCTCTAAACTGAAGAGGCCACTGCTGCTGCATTGGTAGTGGTCATATTCTCAACACTTGGATCAGCTGACAGTCCTGCTTAGTGGAAATGTGCCTAACTTTCTCAGCCCACAAGAATTTATCAAATCCCAGTTATGTGTTAGACATCATATTTTGTGTCTGTAATCAAAGCAACCAAAATAGAAAAGGCCCTGCTCTCATGAAGTTTACATTCTAGAAAATACTTGGGTGACAGGGAGTGATAGATGACGATGAAGAAAAATGATGTAATGACTGGGAGATGAGGTGGGGTGTGTGAGAAAGCCCTGACATCAGGGCTCAAAAAATAGTGCTGTGTTTGAGGAGGGGAATCTTACCTCTTTGCCTTTTTGTTTGTAACAGTTCTGTGAGTCTGGGGGGTGGTAATTAAAGCTTTGATTTTAGATGAGAGGGAGTTAATGAGTTTGTAAAAATCAACCCCCTTTTCTTTGGGGGAAATTGTTCTCACACTAGCTCCATGCACTCTGTTTGTGGGCTCCCGTGTTCTCTGTATTCACTGAATAAGAACATTGCAGGGTTTCTAACTCATATCTCTTCTTAAGCCCACTTGAGCGGGATAGAGTTTGAAGCCCACCGGATGTTCCTGTTTTGTAGACAGCTATGAACTATGGGACATTTTATGAGGTGGCGTAGAGTGCAGTTCAGGGTTCGTGTACAGAACCTGCCATTTGCACAAACAACATTCGGTACACCCTAATTCTTGAGGTAGTAGCAGAGGCTTCCTTCTCGCTTTATTAATTTAAAAAGCAACAACAAAAACCAACCAAACAAAAACAAATTCCTAACAGTACCTATTAGGTGTTTAGTGTGTTTCTTGCTCCCGCCCCTAAAACTTGGGGGGAAAAAAGGATATATTAATATACATGGACATATATGTATGTATATATGTGTGCCGGTTCGTGGCTTGGTTTTATTTTCCTAGGCAAGTGCTTTTATCACAAAATTTCATAAGAATTTTTTTTCTGTAAGCATCACAGGCATCTTTCAAATTTCCTTCTTGACATATCTTTTGCAAAGTTTTCCCTTGACCTGGCTAATGTCTTCAAACCTGGCAGACTGGTTGATTTTTTCACGGACTGAAACTTCAACATGCAAACTCGATGGGTCTTTGCAGAGTCAATTTTCAGGCTAAGAGAAGAAATGAACATGTTCACTCGTCAGTGGGAAAATATTTATACCATTGCTGTGTTTTTCTCTATCCATCAGGTTGCTGGTTTTGACTACAGAAAATGCCAGCATGTTTTCTCTTACGTAGGTTTTTGTCTGAAACAGGAAATTATTTCTTTGCCTAACATTATTTTCCTCTGATTTACTCATCTCCGATGTACTTAGCGATTGCTCTTGCCCTCTTTAAGGCCTTTTACAAATGGAAACGTCGAGGGTCCTTTTAGTTTTTCTTCCTACTATATCAGCTGAAGCAGATGGGCATCTGAGCTGAAGGGTAAGGAGAAGACGGTGTCCAGTTGACTTCAGGCTCCTGCTGGCTGCTGGCGAGCTGGCCTGGGTTAACACCAATCAAGGGTCAGCGCCCTCTGAGTTGGGGGGCCTCGGGCAGAGCAGCCAAGACTCCACCTCTGCTTGACAAGAGCGTCCGGCAGCGCCGTTTCCCCCAATGGTGAGGAACCACCTAGTTTGTCGCGATCCTCTGGTTGTTGCTCTGCCTAGCGCAACTGGGCTCCCCCCCGAGACTAGGGCTCCACTCAGGCGAAGCTCAGCCAGCTAGAGGAGCAGCCCAGACCTGGGACTGGAGAGGATGAGGGGCTGGAAGCCCGGGTGGGGGGGATTTCCTCCCGAGCTCCCCTCTCCAACGGGAGCGGAAAATGTGATTTGCTGTGCATTCCAGGCGCGGTTCCCTGGGGTGACCTCTCCCACCCAGGCGGGCGGGGGAGTAGACAAAGAGGCGAGGCGGGCGGAGAGGGGACCCCGCAGAGAAGTAGGAGGGGTGCAGTGGGCGGGGGCAGTACCGGGAAAGGGGGCGGATAGCGGGTCCCGCGGCGACTGCGGCGCCTGACCAATGGAGAGGCGCGGCCCCGGGCGCCGCGCTTAGCCGGCAGCATTTAAACCGGAGACCCAGAGATGCCCGACACTTGGTGCGCCCTTCGCGGACCTGGAGACCCAGTGCACCGCGGTAGCGTCACCCTCCGTCGCTCTTCCCGCGCCGAGCCCGAGTGGCTCGTGCTGCGGTCACTCACAGGGCCACGCGTCTACAGCGAAGGACTCGAAGACCTACGGGACTGAACTGACAGGTGAGCGCGGTGGCTCTCGTGTGTGTGTGTGTGTGTGTGTGTGTGTGTGTGCGTGTGCGTGTGCGTGTGCGTGTGCGTGTGCGTGTGTGTGTGTGTGTGTTTGCGTGCGCGCTGGTACTCTGTCTAGGCAAGGAAACTCCAGGGTCTATACCACCCCAAGTCTTTCTCAGTTGCGGCTCAGCACCTTGATGCACCAAGGTCCTGGGGTTCCCTGGGGTGCGCGTGATACTTCCTGCCTCGGAGGTAGATGCGCGATGACTTCGCAGCGTTGGGTCTGAGGGGTAAAGGTAGGGAGAGGAGATGTCAAGAGCGTGCACCCGGTTTCCACTTGCCCGTGCCCAACAAACTCCCGCGGGAGTCGCCTGCCAGGACAACTCAGAAAGTTGCCAGGGTCGGAGCTCGGGAGTCGGGTGTGTGTGAGCAGAAGCCGACCTCGCTACAAGTTGCAACCTGCTGGGCGCAGGGCTGAGACTGGGGTGTCTGTAGGAGCCGCGGTCCCAGGGTAGTGAGTGGTAACTGCTGCGGACTTGAGAATTAGTGGCACGTGCTTTTGCGGGGATGGCAGATGTGATAGACTAACTGGTAAAACAAAATCCGCCAGGCTCAACAACCGCGAAGAGTCGGGGTCCGGTACCTCGAAGCTAGAGTGCTTTGGTGGTCCAGGTGCTCTCGCGGCACGCGCCACACACTCTTGCGCTAGTTGTGCGCTGGCCTCGCGTGGCTGATTGTTTTGAGCCTCTTGGGTTCCACGCTCTCATCCGTCTTACTGCAGACGCGCAGGCGCCAGGCAGCCACCACCGGCTGGTTCCCACTTCCGCGGATGCAGGTCGATCTGTACCCAACAGGCACTCGTCTTGCCTCGTTGCACCTCGCTAGCAACTCCGCTCTAATGTCCGCATCATATCTGCTCCTTGCCAGCTGCCTAGCCCATTCCAGTGAGCCCTCTCTAGTTCCTGGTGGAAGGCTAGGGTGAAGAGGAAGTCAATGTGGCTGTCATCTCCCTGGTCTTAGTTATTTGCAGAATTCTAGTTAGGGAAGAGCAAACTCACTACAGCTCTGGATAGGCTGTTTTCCCTCTGGCACACTTTGGCTTAGTATTTTCCTATGCTCTGCTGAGGCGACAATCCACCAGCGAGCCTGGCGAGGATGCAGAGTGATCAGCCTTTGCTGGGAGCATCTTCTGAGAGCCTAAGCTGGGCCGCTGGTCTAGCTCAGCAGCCTTCTTCCCCTCCTCAGCCGAATCCAAATCTCTACTCTTTGATGGAGAAATATAGCCTAGAAGTGAGGGGTTAAACTCTCCTTTTAACTGTTGGAGGGCAGAATGACGACCATCAGTAGGTAATTGGATCTCTTGGTGGAAAGAGCAAACCCAAGCGGTGCGCACGTCTGTTTATGTTCCCTTGAGATGGTGCCAGGATACGAACTGATTAAAACAATCTATTGTGTTCAATGGGTCACCAGGGCTTTAAGCTGTCCTTGCGACTCCAGAGTGGTGGTTTCCTTCTGACTGCTCTTACAAGTTAAATAAATAGCGTAGAAGAGGTTAAGATAACCCCATCCCAGGGTGAGGAGTCTTCTTTCACCCCAGGGCTGCCCTCCTCACCCACCCACCCCCCTTTTTTTCTTTTTGGGACGAGGCAGGCGGCACAGGGGACTTGGGAGTACAGACTTTTCAAAGCAAAGAGGGAAAAAGATCTTAAGAAAACAAAATCCTTCCTCACCACCACCTCAACCAAGTCTCCATGCCTCCATTATTCCATTCCTTTCATTGGCTGTAGTGCACGGCTGCATTTGTTAGAAGTTACTAATTATTTAAGAGGTGTGTGTGTGTGTGTGTGTGTGTGTGTGTGTGTGTGTGTGTGTGTGTGTGTGTATTTAATCCCCAGGTCACTGTAGGAATTAGAGTCTTTTGTAAACTTTGTAATTTCACAGCTTTCCCATCTTCTTTAAAGTTCACGTTGAGTGAAATGTTTTGGTAACCTACAGTCTGTAGGAAATCCAGGTTGGCTAAATGGGTTTCACAGCAGTGCTTACATGGGAAGAACAGAAATATATTAAGTCCCCATATCTCTCAATGGCCACCTCCTACCCTTCTAAACTGAAGCTCTTCGTGACCTCGGTCTTAATGGTACAGTATCCAAAGTCTGTAGAGTACAAAGAAACCCTATGCTCTAGACTTCTCCCCAGGAGGTGCTTGGTGGCAGCAAAGCTTTCGAGTATGTTCCAGAATGCAAAGCCAAAGACACACAGGAAAACTCAAGCCTTTTATGTATAGGGAAGAGGAGGAAGGCAGTTACGAGCATCAACTGCAGATTTAACTGAAAAGCACTGACCGGGCAAGTGCTACCAGCCCATGTCTTACATCTGCAAAGAATTTTCTTTAGTTTTAACATATGTTCTTAGAAATGCAAAGTACAACAGGAATTCCTGTGACAAGAGAAGTCTTTTCCTTCGCATGCAAACATGAAGACACAAAAATAGATAATTATTAGATCTGCAATATTCCTCAAAATTTATTGCAATAGAAAGCAAATCCACATGTTCCTTGTTAAATGTACCGTGCTGGATGCCATTGGCAAAGTGACTAAGGACATGTTTGGGGTTAGACAGAACTGGGCTCACATCCTGGCTATCCACTTTACAAACTATGTGACCTTGGATGGATTCCTGGTTAATAACAGGAAGACATTATTATATACCTCATATTTTATCATGACATGGACAGTATTTAGCATAATGTTCAACATAGTAAGGTCTCAAAAATAAGAGGTACCTCCTCTTACTAGTGGTTGTGTTGGGCAGGAGAGACCTGAGGATAATTTTGAATTTAAGCTCAAATCCCACTTTATACTTGCATAGCTTCTGTTACAAAATGCGGTATATAACTTGTCCGTTATTCAATAGTGCTGTTTGATATTTATATATTCTAATAATTGCATATTGATACAAATATTGTATACAATTATTAACTTTACTAAAAAAATACATTTCCAGGGAACTATGGGAGATATTTAACCACCAGGTGTCTCCCCACCCTGTATGGTATTGGGTTCCAGCCTGACTTAACCCGAATAGGGGGGTTATAGTTGGGAGATTGCAACATGCAAGGAATAAAATTTATTATGTGTGCCAATCATTAATTTTTCTTATCTCCTTGGTGTAACTTGTCTGATAAATAACTCAGCCTTTATTCTTAGTAATAAATTCTCTCGTTAATTTCTAAAGATGGATTCTAAATGTTTAAATTAAGGAACTAACCAAAATTAACTTTCACTCTTCCTAAAGATTAAGGCTCAAGGGAAAAAGAAAGAGATTCTTTTAAAATCCAGCCAGCCCATAAAGCATTTGCAGTCATTTCCATTGTGTTTTGTGCAGGGAGAACGAGCTGATGTCATTCTTGTTGCTTGCCATTCAGCAGCAACAATGGACCAGTTCAGGAACAGACATCTGAAAGTTCACTGTATTTCTTACCAGAAACTCCATCTAACTCACCGAGTAGTTTGCTTGGTTAATGTGGGAAACATAATGAGAAGTGTACTTTAAGGAACTGACCCTAGGTTCCCTAAATACATCAAGAACTTTGGAAACAAGTCATACATACTACTTGGGTTCCCAAAGCACCAGATGCCAAAGATAATTCTTAGTGCTTGTGAAGATTTTGATAAATTATCAGGGCAGAGGTGACTGCTATGGCCTGTCTTGCTTGTAGGTGTTTATTCTTGCACACCTAGGGAACTGGGAGCAAGTGGAAGGCAGTGAGGACCTGTTTTGAGGATTTGTCCTCTGAGATAAGTGGTTGGATAGGGGCAGTGGCAAAAGAAAAAAGAGACGAGGGGGAAGTGAAGCTTGCTGTCAAAGAAGGGTCACAGAGAAAGCTCACCTTGACGTACTAGTACATCACTTAACAGCAGAAATGCCTTAACAGGATGTTAAGGTGGAGTTTGGAATAAAGACCGATACTTTCTATAAAGGAGATGCTTGCTGGGTGCCATGATATACTCTGAGTTCATGGGAACTGCTGAATGCAATAATGTGAACAAGTTATTTTATGAGTGGAAATCACTATGGAGTTAATGATTTTATGTGGGTGGCAAGTCATGGGGACCTAGATCTAGACCAGCATTTGGACTGACTTTGAGTGGCCCAGCACACTGCTAGGGGTTGGTGTGGAAATAATTGTCCTCCAGTAAATCCCATCTTTTTTATTTGCTGCATACCAGTGACATGAATAAAACACTAAACATTTGATGGAAACACAGGTGCAATTTCAAGCGGAAAAATCCAAGATTCATTGACTGAGCAATCAAGCCTTCCTGTAACCCTTCCTCAGGTTGACTATCGAAAGCACACTGGATAATCTACTGGAGCCAGAGCACTGCTGTGGCTTCTGTTCATTGATGTTCTTGGAGGGTTTTTGTTTGTTTTTGTTTTTTAATATTTACCTGAAACACTGTAAAGTTTAAGAACTTGAAAGCCTAACAATAAACATTAAATGTTTAAAAAGAGTAAGCATTTTGAAATGAAAAAAGAAATACACTTTCTACACCAAGTAAATCTTAGTTTGAATATTTTACTTTTATTTATTTAGTGAAAAGCAGGCCTGTTGTAGACTCTTTTGCCTTATAGGGACACACACACATGTATAGGAACGGAAAGTTTTCCAAAAATTAAACCCCAAACAATATTCAGCTAATTGTGAATACATTGCTTTATAACTAGGTTAAAAGGAAATTCATAGTGTCTTTCACAGGAGCAGGTAAGGACTCCAGAGTTTTTCTAGAAAAAGAAAGACAAGTGTTGCAAGAAGCTGTGTAGGCCTGTACTGACTGTCAGAAACCAAAGGCCCTGCAGTTAGCTGACACCTTGATACCACAGATGGTATTTTTGAACATAAAGAACAGACACTGTGTCAAATTTATGTGGTATATTAACCAACCACTTAACAAATATTCACAAGCACCCCCCTCTGTGTCAGGCACAGAGGGTCAAATGACAAATTAGCCCTCATCAGCTCTCAGAATAGATATCTGTTCAATTACAGATGTAAATATGCCCGGGAAAGAACAGTCCATTTTATAAGCCTGAGTCCCAAATTGTTCTGAAAAATAAATTGCAGCTTTGTTAATGGATGTTTGTAGAACAGTATGCCTTATGACATTAATTGTTACATTCTTTCAACATACATCCACAGTCATCTTCAAGTTGGCCTCTGTGGTTGTGGACACTGAGGTTCTGGGCCTGAAAGGCTTGGAGGTTATTTTCAATAGATGTGGAAGATTATCTGCCTAGGTCTAGGGCCACCTGTAAGATTTCACTAAAATTATCAGTGAATGTGTTTTATTTCAGTTCTTGGCCTTTTATTTTAGATTCTGCTCAATTGAGAGAGATCAGAAACTTGTGAAAACATCTCAGATTCACATTATAGTTCCTGGGAGACAGAGTGATCATGGATCAAGTTATCCTGACCTCTGAAGGAAATCTGTACTATTTTATAACTGGGCTATTTTCATAAGTGATGTTTTATTATACAAAACAAAGCAATTAATTGTTTTGTTGTGGTGGTCGACATGGCTGTGAACAGAGATGTTGTGACATAAGCTGACAAAAGCCAGGGAAGCTACAGTTGGAACAGGAGTTAAATGTCACATTATCAGCTCCAAACTTGAACCTGCTCCAAAGTATTAAGTTAATGTTGGAAAAATGATGACATTTAAGAACATTTTTTTAAATGCAGCATTCAATTATCTTGGTTTGACATTAGCCTTAGGGTTGAATGGTCCTCACTTGCCAGAAGTTGTCCCTCAAAGAAGATACATCTTATATTGCTTTTGTCTCTTAAAGATAATTGGTCTAGATAATGATACCAACTTGTCTGGTTTTTTGGAGACTGAGGTTATATTAAATGAGGTTATATTAATATGCACTTAGTGGTTGTCACATGCAACATTGGTGTTCAGTGGAGAGAAAATGGATACTTCACAGCTGTGTTCTTGTGGAGCAGACCATAGGCACAGGGCAGAGGAAACCTTAGGGCACTGCCATCCCTGGAAGAGAGGCTATGAATTTGAAACTGTTCTCATTGAAAAGAACATCCTTCAATGTTTTAATAACTCCTGGTGTGCCCCATGCCAACAAGTGTTACAGGCCTTAAGCTGGGTGGAAAGGCCTACTGACTGAATCATTGTCTATACATAACAGTTCTCAAGATGACAGTGTCTGGGACAAGGAGCTGTCTGCTGCCTCTCTTTTCCTCCTCTTCCTGTCTGCCCTGTCTTTTCTGAACAACTCTGCCTCTTAAAGTGCCCCCTTTTCTCTGATATGTTTTGTTCACTCCATTCACTTTCCTGTCTGCCCATCTGTATTCCTTCCCACCCCTCCCCCCCCCCGTCCCCTTGCAGGCCAAATTGTGCTCTGCTTATTTATTTATTTATGAAATGTCATGTGATGCCCTTGCCATACATGACTCCTACAGAGTCATGCTTACAATTCACTGTCAACAGTGCTTTCCATACTTATGAATGTAAATATCCATTCACTTACTCTATTGCCCATTTTCTACCTTTGTTTAAGCCCATTTTCTACGTTTGTTTATTCATTCATTGTTATATATTTTAGATGTAATTATCTACATGTAAAATACACATGTGACACAAAAACAGGATTTGGGGGGAAGAAGGACATGGGAAAGCAGTGGGGAGTTGAACATAAACAAGGCACAGTGAGAGATATGTATGAAAATTCACAATGAAACTCATTTTGTATAATAATTTAAATATTGGTCAGCTAATAAGACAAAACATTTCTATGTAGACATATAGGTGAATGCCTGACATATTTCACAACTTAAAAAGGTAGAAAAGTGTGGCCTGGAGAGATAGATGGCTCAGCTGTTAAGAGCATTCTCTGTTCTTCCAGATGACCTGAGTTCAGTTGTTAGCACCCACACTGCGTGGCTCACAACTGCCCGTCACTCCAGCTTCAGTGATTCTGAGGGCTTCTTCCTTCTGCTCTCCTCAGGGTCACACATCACACACACACACACACACACACACACACAGAGAGAGAGAGAGAGAGAGAGAGAGAGAGAGAGAGAGAGAGGAGTGGGTGGGGGAGTGTATATCACATCATAAAGATGACACCAGGCATCTCTGTCTCCTGTCCAGTGGCCTTCCTCCTTCCTCGTAGGTTGTTCTGTCACAGGCTTCCTGGTTTCTTTCCAATGCCGGAACAGCAAAAAGTCTCATGTTGTTAAATTCAAGAATAAATACAGTTAAGTGAGCATAAAAAAAGGTCACATGCTATTGTGTCAGGAGCCAGTAAGGAATTCTCTTGGGAGTTGGTGCAATGAAGAGACAGTTCCTGGCTGTGTTTAAAGCTTGGCCAATTCTCTGTGTGACCTATATTGAATTACCCAGTTTGATGGGTGAGAGAGTAATGGGAATAATAGTATCTAATAGCAAGTGATACTGTAAAAGTCAGTGCAACTGAAGTGTGCAGTGAGTACAATATAAGGTGTTAGGTGAAATTATTAATTTTTATTAAATAACTTTCTTATTGTCTGTGTCTCCCCTTCTCTGCATCCCTGCTCTAGAATGAACCGCACAGCCTACACTGTGGGAGCTTTGCTTCTCCTCTTGGGGACCCTACTACCGGCAGCTGAAGGGAAAAAGAAAGGGTCCCAAGGAGCCATCCCACCTCCAGACAAGGCTCAGCATAATGACTCTGAGCAGACCCAGTCCCCACCACAGCCTGGCTCCAGGACCCGGGGGCGGGGTCAGGGGCGGGGCACCGCCATGCCAGGAGAGGAGGTGCTGGAGTCCAGCCAAGAGGCTCTGCACGTGACAGAGCGCAAGTACCTGAAGCGAGATTGGTGCAAAACTCAGCCCCTGAAGCAGACCATCCACGAGGAGGGCTGCAACAGCCGCACTATCATTAACCGCTTCTGCTACGGCCAGTGCAATTCCTTCTACATCCCCAGACACATCAGGAAGGAGGAAGGCTCCTTTCAGTCTTGCTCCTTCTGCAAGCCCAAGAAGTTCACCACCATGATGGTCACGCTCAACTGTCCTGAGCTACAGCCACCTACCAAGAAGAAACGGGTTACACGTGTGAAGCAGTGTCGTTGCATATCCATTGATTTGGATTAAGCCAAAGCGGGCACATCCAGCCTGCCATAGCCATACCGAGAGCTACACCTAAACCACCTGATTCCTACTTGGCTTAAACCTAGAGATCAGAAGATCCAGCAGTTGCTTCCCAGCTGGAGGCTGCTTATGCATAGTGTATGCACATGCGTGTGCATGGGTGTTGTGTGTGTTTCCAAACACCAGTGGAAGCAGCCTTTGCTAGAAGGCCCTTCCTGTTACTCTGCTTCAGATGGTCGGAAACTCCCACACCACTGGACCCAAACATCCACAGGGGCAGGGCTGTAGTTGGCTTTGCCTTTGTGTCCCATGCGCCCCTCCTGGGTAGGAGGACTTCACTTGAGAATGAATACTAATGGAAGAGGTAACTCCAAGGGCCGCAGTAGACTTGGAACCTTTCAGTGCTTGCCCTTTTCTCCCACAACCTATTCCTTTCTTTGCTCTCCCTGACATCTCAGTCTTAGCCCATGTTCCTAAATTAATTCAGTTGACCGTGGGTGTAAATGTTTCCTTCTTGTGAAGAACCCTGAGAATGCTGGGAGATGTGTGATGGAGGACAAACAGGACGGAGATTGACAAAGGAGTGTTGAGGCTGAGGACCAGTCTGGGACAGTGAAATTCAGTATTAAGATGTCCAGAGTTTGAAAGTTGTTCCCCCAAAACAGTGAAAGAATTTTCCTGATATTTAAAAGAACCTAGATGCGCAGGGGTGAAATATAAAGACACATACACACCCCAATTTTTTGTATCTGCCTCTGTAACCTCCTGACACTAACTGTAATGCAGAGTTAAAAGTGAAATATTGACCATTCCTATTTTAAAAACCAAAAGCAAGAAACAGAAAGAAACATGGCCTCCTACTTTACTTTGCCTCTCAGGAGAACAACTGAGAGTCTTGTACACTGGGATAAGAAAAGACAAAAAAAACCTCCTTAGCTTAGTTTTGATGGATTAACACTGCTTTTTATTATTTCTGCAAAATTGTTCTGAGATGTACAACCTTGTGCTAAAAATCTTTCCTTTGCTGAGCATATCTGCCAGTGAGGAATTGTCAAAGATGAGAAACTTACCTGTTCCATTTTAGTTAGACATGAATAGGGGCTTTTCTGTTTTGGCTCTTGTTATGAGAGAACCGGAGAGTGGATGCACTCAAAGGGATTGCATCTGGCTAGGTAGTGTCTGGAGGAGAGATAGGGCTCAGACTGCCTTGTCTTCATTTGCTCTTAGAAGGTCATAAGAAAGTTCCATTAGGAAAGCAGAACACTAGGTATAACAACAGGCCATCTCTTCCCCTTGTAATAATTGTGCCTACTATGGATGTCCTCTGAATACACCAGGGCTTCCCAAATACCTACTCAAGCATTTATGTAAAGGACAAAATGAAAGGTAGCCTTGATACATTTTGGCTTGGCTAGGCAATACTCTTTAAGACTGAGACTCTAGCTATAAATGCCCTTTTTGTCTTTTCCTCTCAGAGTCACTAGTTAAGTTATGTGTCATTTGGAAGGGAGACATTCACTGCCCATCAAAGCTGAAACAGTCACAGAACAATTGGATGTAAAGAAACTTTTTTATTTTGGTCTAGTGCTCTCCCATGTGATGTCTAAATGGAAGCCATGCTGTAAGACAAAAACTCTCTTGAATCCCCAAACATGGGGTCTAAAAGTTTAAAGTTTAAAAATCACTACTGATGGTCCCAGAATAGATGAATTTGTGCAAGCATAGTCTGTGTATTTCATTGGTACAGTATGCTACTTCCCTGAATCCACCACCACAGGATGGGTTTGATTAGGCCCCCAAATGCGAAGGCAAAGTTTTGAGGGTAGTGAAGAGTGAAAAATAAGAGGAAGAAGCTGAAAATTTAAAAGCACACCAGAGATGAAATATGACACTCAGTGCTAAGAAACACTGTCTTAATACTGCCACAAACACACAGTATTGTTATAAAGTAATAGTAGGAGCTTGTACCACAGTCTCTCATGTAAGTTGGATTTGGTTTAATATAAAGATGATTGCATTAAAATTAACTCCATGGGAACAGTCAGCAATAGAAGTAGCCTTAAAGCACATCACTGGCCAAAGAGGGAAATGCCTGTCTTCCTTGCTATGCCTAGACCAAGACCATCATCAATGCATGTCTTCCATCATTGATCAAAGATGCCCTATCTGTGGCTTGTTTTGGACTCATTGGTGATGTAATATTGTGTATTTTCTCCACCATTTTATTAGAAATGTTTTATGGTAAGACAGTTGTGATTTTGACTATCAAAATAATGTCATATACCAAATATGAATTTAATGCTGTTCTCTTTGTGCTTGGCACTGAAAGAGAAAATCACATAACTTGTAAGCCTGGGGGCTTCCTTGCAACTGTACTCTTCCCAGCTCAATGTTATAAATGAAAAATTTGGAGGAAAGGATAATTTCCACTGTGTGGAATGTGAATAAGCAAAAAGATATGGTTATTTAATGTAATTATGAATTCAAGTCTTTTGGTTACTGTGATTTCAAACATGCTTTCTTTCTCTGTTTTATATAATGGCCTCTGAGTTGGGCAAAGAAGAAACTGGCCATTGTATGTTGTTAGGGACTTTTGTCAGGTCAGAGGGAAACACAATATTGTCACATATGAAGAGATGTTACCGAGTCAAGGATGAACTTTTATTTTCTAAAATTGGATGTTCCTTGAAGATTGACACTTCTGAAACATATTAGGAAAGAATTTAAAATGTTATTTTGAGAGACTTACAATGTGCATATACAAGCAAATAGCAGATAATGATGACTAGTGCACAAATACATATGAACAGAACATTTCTAAAAAGGAATTCTGAGCTGAAAGAGTGAAAGAAATTCTATTGTCATTCCTCAAGATATTTAATACCATCTACACTGTGTATTTAATCTGCATTAATCATTTTAAAACAACGAAGGATTATATAGGCTATGATCGAACCCTCTATGGATGAGGGTGAGGTGGGATTTAATGGTCTCATAAAAGCTAATTTGGCTTCAAGTTTTATGAATCTGTAACTAGAATTTTATTTTCACCTTAATAACATTCTATATAACCTTTGCCAAAAAAGCAATCAATAAATTAAACCTCTTCTTTGTGTATGTGTGTATGTATGCTTGAATTTTATCTGGTGGTCATCTCTCAGCAGGGGCTGGGGTCGGGGGCAGGGCCAGGGCCAGGGCCCGGGCCAGGGATTTACTTGATCCAGAAAAGAGGAAGGAACCAAGTACAAAGATGGCTCTTGTTTGGAGAGGAATCTATTCATTGTTCTTTGCACCCAAATTTTCCCTTCCTTCGTTCTTTCCTTCTTTCTTTCCTTCCTTAGATTTATTTATGTGTAAGACCGCTCCATCTGCAGTATGCCTACATGCCAGAAGAGGGCATCCTATCCCATCATAGATGGTTGTGGGCCACCATATGGTTGCTGGGAATTGAATACAAGACCTCCAGAAAAGGATCCAGTGTTCTTAGCCACTGAGCCATCTCTCCAGCCCCCACCCAGATTTTTCGGATCCTCTTTGATTTTAGTAGCGACATCTCAGACTCAGGCAGTTACAGACAAAGGCTGGTTTGCGACCGAGTCACCACCAGTCTCCCCAAGCACAGCTAGAAGGAAGTGGTTACCACAGAGGCCTGCAGAAAGCAGAGGGCTTGACACACAGATATGATAAAAACCTTATTACAGAGGGTTAAGAAGGAAAGATGAGGAGAAAGGCTTGAATTCAATAGAAGAAAGAGTTGTAATGAGGATAGTGATCAGCAATACCATGGGCTGACTTGGAGAAGATACACTTGTTTTTCTTGGAAATACTTTAAAATGTGCTAGATATAATTCCATAGGATTATAAGGAAAGTTAGTTTTCTGAGATCATGAAAGTTTCTAAGAGTTCATCACTGCCTGAACATACGTGGCTTGATTAGCTGACAACAGTAATCAAATCCCAGAAACTAGGTATGTAAAGGGCCAGTGTTACCCACTATGCTAAGACTTTAATTTGTATTGTTCCATTGAGGTATCCCAGGATAGCAGAAGGCTCTGTTATCCTCCCTAACAGAAAGTCTTGAACCCTTGTGGTCTTATTGTAATACCTGGGTCCTTAAAAATTCTAGGATTTTTTTTTCTCAATAGAAGTAAAAATTGTTAAAGGAGTAAAAATCTTAAAAGTTGTAAGGTTTGTCCTCTGCTTAACAACAGAAAACAGATCCAACCAATGATTATTGATTAAGGTCATCCATGCTCTTATTAGGCAGGACTGGAATTGGAGCTCAAGTTCAAAAGCACTAAGTTGAAGCTAATTTGCCAACTCCTCTCCCCTTTTTTATGTACTTGGGGTGGGGTGGGGAGTGGGCTGCACCATTTAGGGGCTTCAGGAAAGCAGCATTCAGGAGGTAACATCTAAATAAGGCTGGAAAGATGTGAGTGGGACAGCACACAGAAGAGCTGGCCCTGGGAGTGTGGGCTTGGGAGAGCTGGCTCTGAGGGGTCGTTGTGGGAGGAGAGACAGTCCTGCCCCTTTGCAGCTGCCAAAGGCCGGAGAGGCAGACTCACCCTTCACTGGGCAAAGTGGGAGAGGAGCAGGACTGACCAATTTGGCAACCACTCAGGCCCAGATCCAGATTGAGTTGGCCCATGCCAATATCTACCCCATCTAAGAACTTTTGGAGCATGTCAAGGGGCCAATTCTGCAGAACCAAAACATGTTAAGATCTCCATGATACAGGGCAACAGCAGGATATCTGAGGGGAGTCCTAATGAGGGTCTAGTGCTGATAGTGTAGCAGAAGACAGAGGCCTCAGGCCAGACCAATGAATCCTTGCAATGAACATTTGCAAGCAAAGCTGTTCGGTCAAAAGGATATATTGGGTGATAGATTGTGACACTCTGTAGCTGGGTGATAGATTGTGACACTCTGTAGCTTCCACAATAAGGTTTTTTTTTTTTTTTTTTTTTTTTTTGCTGGGGAGTTTGCAAAGACAGAGGGTGGATATGGAGGGACTGGGTATGAGTGAGATTGGGGTGCATGATGTGGAATTAAAAAAGAATTAATAAACTGTTTTTAAAAATTATAGCAAAAGAAAACATCTGATTATACTTTTTTGTCTTTTATAAATTTTACTCAAAGTAGATGAACAGTTTAATAAAGTCCAATTGCAGTGAAAAGCAAACCATTAGACACCTCCCTAAGCAAAATTTTGTTAATAGCTAACCTAATTATGGATTATGGGCTCTGAAGACGTATTCTAAGTCTTAATTATTCTTTACCTTCTAGATCATGTTTGGGCAAGTTGACTGGAAAGCCAGGCTACCTACTGTGGCAGCAATGGAGGGAACACAACATGTAGACCCCACTTTATGGGGAACCTTAACTCTCTAATTACTATTAAAAACCAAGCAAGTCTCCTCTCCCTACTTTCCCAAGCTATGTTCAGAGCAGAACAGGAATTCATGATCTTTTCTCCTCTTTGGAGTTATGTGCACTATTATCATCTAAGCAACTGAACCAAATTTTAGGGAGGAATCCATATTGTCTATGGAGGTGTTCATAAGATCTGTGCATATTCAAATTACCAAAAAAATTGCCAAAAGTAGAACTAAAAGTCTTAATTTAGCCATCATATATAAAGAGACTAAATTAACAATTAAATTTTTTTTTTCTGCAAGGTAAAGCTCACATAGAATGGCTTCGCCACTCATATAA